GAGAGAGAGAGAGAGAGATGGTGGGAACTGGGGAACTGGGGAGAGGCAAAGAGAGGGAGACACAGAATCCGAAGCAGGCTCCAGGCTCCGAGCTGTCAGCACAGAGCCCGATGTGGGGCTGGAACTCATGAACGGTGGTGAGACTGTGACCTAAGCTGAAGTCGGATGCCTAACCAAACTAAACCACCCAGGCATCCCTAACTTGAGTTCTATTAACAAGTCCATCACTAATTTATTAACTTGGATGAATTTGGCCAGCTGTGTCACTTCAAATTTTCCTCAATTGTCATGTAAGACTCCTATGTCTCACCAGGTAGCTGTGACATGAGCACAATATGAAACAATTTCAACAACAGAGGTAATCTTGGAGATTATCTAAGTTCATTTCTCTCATTTTATTTTCCTTATTTATAGTTAAAGAAATTGTGTCCTGGTCATATAAATGATTAATGACACACTGGTCCTTAGAACCCAAACTCTAACTGCTAGACAAGACAGGAAAACAATTTGGGGCACTTACAGAAAAGATAACTTGAAATTTTACCAACTTACCCACAATAGGACCAGGATTCACTCCATACTTCACAAGCTGATCCAAAAGATCTTCATTAGTGAGCTCTGTTACATCTAGATCATCTTTATCTTCTAGTCTGGGTTTATCAGTTTTCTTTGTGGCTTTCTGTAAACAAAGTCCGGTTATCATTTCCACATGAATTAAAGTGTTCACCTATTTTATAAGTCACACTGTATACAATATAAACATGCAAATTCACCCTCCAATTTATAGCTTTATTAGGCCTTAGCAATTTTATTAAGAGCAACTCATTATTTGAAGATATTTTTTGTTTAATTGTAACAACTCAAATTTGTAAACATTACTATTAAAAACAGTTTTGGCTAACCTATCTAAAGAGGAGGTGGCGTCATCAAAAATTCAAGAGTAAACAGCAAGGGTTTAAAGACTTTCACCCAGATAATCAGAGATACAATTTACTACTACTGACCACTTAAATAATCCTTAAAAATTTAAATTATTCTATAAGAGCTTACGACTTTACCATAAAGATATTTCTTAGTTATATTTAAAAATGATTTCCTTTAAACAAGCATATCAGAATCTATGAAACCCAGGTGAATATTCAGTAGCTTTAGTAGCCAGTGTCTGACCACGAAGGAAGTCAAACTTTTTGACTATCACCTCTTGGTACAGCTCTGGCAGCACATTTAGTTCTATATGGCTGTTTCACTTAGAAAAGTTCAGAGAACATGGAACAAGCTTTGAGAGAAATTTCAAAGGAAGTTTTCAGCATAACTTAAGCAATGGCAGTATTTGCTGGAAAAATATAAACATTCCAAGGTTAAACAAGAGAAGAAAGCAGAAGTGTGGGTGTCTTCTAGGGTTATGGCAAATAGCCCTACAAAATGCCTCAGTAACCCCAGAAAGCCTCAGAGAATTGAACAAAAAAATAGCTGTTTGAATAATGACTACAAGTATCAAAGTCAGTTTAGGCCCAAATTTCTATTTTAGGCAAATGAGTCAATACTGTGTCTTTCAACTGCCTGACTCAGACAGAGTATGTGACTCTTGTTCACGGGGTTGTGAGTTCGAGCCCCACAGTGGGTACAGAGATTAATTAAAAGAAAAAATAATGCATTCTAGGGGTGCCTTGGTGGCTTTGTCAGTTAAGTGTCTGACTTCAGCTCAGGTTGTGATCTCACGGTCCATGAGTTTGAGCCCCACACCAGGCTCTGTGCTAAGAGCCCAGAGCCTGAGCCTGCTTTGGGTTCTGTGTCTCCCTCTCTTTGTCCCTCCCCTGCTTGTGCTCTGTCTCTCTCTCTCTCAAAAACAAACATTAAAAAACTAAAAATAAATACTGCATTCTAGAAATATTTTATGCAAAATGGTGAAAATCATAGTTGTATGGACTGCTTACTTTCAATGATGCTGAGGGGGAGAAAGAAAAATCAGGCATGATTTGGCCATGTATTAGAATTTCTATTTTGGGGGTGCCTGGGTGGCTCAGTTGGTTGAGTGGCAGACTTTGGATCAGGTCTTGATCTCATGGTTTTTGAGTCTGAGCCCCACATCAGGCTCTCCGCTGTCAAGACGGAGACTGCTTTGGATCTCCTCTCCCCCTCTCTCTACCCCTCCCCGCTTGTGCTCTGGCACTCTATCTCAAAAATAAACATTAAAAAATAAAAGAATTTCTGAATGAAATCTTGCCATTTGTAACAACATGGATGGAACTAGGATATTACGCTAAGTGAAATAAGTCAGTCAGAGAAAAAGTATCCCATATTTTCAATCATATGTGGAATTTGAGAAACTTAACAGAAGACCATGGGAGAAGGGAAAGGGAAAAAATAATTTCAAACAGAGAGGGAGGCAAACCATAAGAAGACTGTTAAATACAGAGAACTGAGGGTTGATGGAGGAGAGG